GGTGGCTTCTCTTGTTGTGGAGAACGGGCTCTAGGCACACGGGCTTCAGTAGTTGTGGCGCACGGGCTTAGTTGCTCTGCCACATGTGGGATCTTCCCAGACCAGGGCTCGAACCCATGTCCCCTGCCTTGGCAGGCGATTCTTAACCACTGTGCCACCAGGGAAGTTCCCTGCCCATCCTTCCCCCCAGCCCCCATACCTTGACATTCCTGAAATACCTGAAATTCTCCATATCTCCTTGAAATTCCTGATTTCATTGAACTCCAATGCTTGGCCCATATTTTCTAACTAAATTAAATTTTCACTACCCTCACACCATCCATGTGTCCCTTTAGCATCCACATATGTCTAACCTGGCCAATTTTCCTTTTCTATAGTTTAAGTGTCCCAGGATATTTGGTCACATATCCCCTCCACTGCCTCCCTATATAGAGCTCTCAATTGTCCCCCAGTTTCTGGAATTCCAATATATCCAAAATATCCAGCCTCTCCACGCAAGTACTAATGGACAGCCTTTCCAGAGTTTAACTATAAAAACAAAAGGGCACAATTTTTGGGGCTTTGTGCCATGCTGCTCAAGAATCAAATTACTTTTATTTATTTTTTTGGCTGCGTTGGGTATTCGTTGCTGCGCGCGGGCTTTCTTTAGCTGCGGTGAGCGGGGCCTACTCTTTGTTGTGGTGCGTGGGCTTCTCATTGTGGTGGCTTCTCTTGTTGCAGAGCACGGGCTCTAGGCGCATGGGCTTCAGTAGTTGTGGCTTGCGGGCTCCAGAGCGCAAGCTCAGTAGCTGTGGTGCACGGGCTTAGTTACTCCACGGCATGTGGGATCTTCCCGGACCAGGGCTCGAGCCCGTGTCCCCTGCATTGGCAGGCGGATTCTTAGCCACTGTGCCACCAGGGAAGCCCCAAGAATCAAATTCTTAAAAAAAAAAAAAAAAAAAATCAAATTCTAGAGAGTCTTATTGACCTAGCTAAGCTCACATGCCCACTTTTGGCCAGAAGGCAAAAGAAACATCTTAATAAGAAGCCCCCATGAAAATAGCACACTAGAGGAAAGAGACAGCTTCTCAAAGGAAAACTGAAGTTATCAAGACCATGGATACTGGGCAGGCAAAAATAATAGACATCTAGTAAACTGACTTTTAGCAGATCACAAATGCTAAAGGGAGAAACAATTATTTTGGACATTTGTCCTATTATGTACTGGCTTCCCAAAGTGGCTACACCATTCTACATTCCCACCACACTGTATGGTTCCAATTTCTCCACTTCTTTGCCAAAACTTACCTTAAAAAAAAAAGTTATAGTCGTCTTAGTGAATATGAAGTGGTATCTCATTGTGCTTTTGATTTGCATTTCCCTGATGGCTAATGATGTTGGATTATCTTTTCATTTGCTTAGCCAAGTGTATATATTCTTTGAAGAAATGTCTATTCAGATCCTTTACCCATTTTTAAATTGGGCTGTTTGTCTTGAATTCTATAGGTTCTTTATATGTTCTAAGCATGTCTATTATCAGATATAATTTGCAAAAATTTCCTCATTCTGTGGTTTGTCTTTTCACTTTCATGATGGTATCCTTGAAGTTCAAAAGTTTTTAATTTTGATGATGTCCACCTTATCTATTTTTTCCTTTGTTCCTTATGTTTTTGGTGTCATCTCTAAGAAACTGTTGCTTAATTCAAGAACACAAAGGTTTAAGCCTATGTTTTCTTCTAAGAGTTTTATAGTTTTAATGCTTATATTTAGCTCTCTGATCCATTTCTGAGTTTCATTTTTATACACGGTTTGAGTTAGAGATCCAATTTCAATCACCAATGGCCAGTGATTTATGTAATGAAGCTTGCTTAAAACCCAAAAAGAGAGGGTTTGGAAAGCTTCCAGGTTGGGGAATCAGAACGTTTGCATGTGCCACCATGCCAGACCCAAAGTTCACAGGGACAAAAGCTCCTTTGTTCAGGACCTTACCGTATATCTCTTCATCTGGTTCTTGACTCATATATCCTTTATAATAAAGCAGCAATCCAGTGAGTAAATGGGCTTCCTGAGTTCTGTAAGCTGCTCTAGAAAATTAATTGTACTCTAGGAGGGGGTCTTGGGAACCTCTGATTTATAGCCAGTCAGTCAGAGCACAGGTAGCCTAGGCTTCTGATTGGCATCTGAAGTGGAGGACGGTCTTGTGGGACTGAACCCTTAATCTGTGCAATCTGATGCTATCTCCAGGTAGTGTCAGAATTGAGTTGAATTGCAGGACACGGACCTGGTGATGAAAAGTGCTTGGTGGTAAGGGGAAACACCGTCCCCTTCCCAACATCAGAACTGAGTGCAGAATGTCTTAAATAGTATTTCCTTATAATTCTTTTTACTTCTGTAAGGGTGGTAGTGTGTCCACTCCTTACTTTCTATTAATACCATCCCAAACCCTGTCACTGCAGCAGCAGGATGAGAAAAGTCTATTTGGGAGTATACAGTGGGGAGCAGGCATGATAATGACGGAGAATAAATAAATGCAAGGGGAAGCTTGGGAATTGGCATCTAGGGAGACTGCTGTGTATTTTTAAAATATTTATGTATTTATTTGGCTGCGCCAGGTCTTGGTTGCCACACATGGAATCTTCGTTGTGGCATGTGAACTCTTAGTTGTAGCATGTGGGATCTAGTTCCCTGAGCAGGGACTGAACCCAGGCCCCCTGCACTGGGAGCACAGAGTCTTAGCCACTGGACCACCAGGGAAGTCCCGGGAAATTGAAGGTTTGATATTACAAAATCATAGGATCTAATGTAGAGGGAAGTAGGAAACTGGATAAGACTGATGCTGGATGGGAGATGAGGCAATGAAGCAGAGTGGGTAACCAAGTATTTGTTATCCTGATTTATTTCTGAAGTTTTGAGGGAGGAATTTAATTATTAGAGGACAATGGGGCCAAGTATATTAATTTATTCCTGCAGAGACACTACTATGACAAATAGTCACAGTATTAATATCCAACAAGTATTAAGCACTTACTCAACATGTAATGGACTCGAGTTCTAAATACTGTGGATTTCACCCTTCTATCCAAGTCAGGTCCATATTTTAACCATATCCAAACAAACCATATTATTGCATATATAATGAGGCCAAGCAGATCTCAGCTGTTGTTTCCTTAATAAGCAGCCTAGGGGGCTTCCCTGGTGGCGCAGTGGTTAAGAATCCACCTGCCAATGCAGGGGACACGAGTTCGAGCCCTGCTCCGGGAGGATCCCACATGCCGCAGAGCAACGAAGCCCGTGCGCCACAACTACTGAGCCCGCGTGCCACAACTACTGAAGCCCACGTGCCTAGAGCCCATGCTCCGCAACAAGAGAAGCCACCGCAATGAGAATCCCACGCACCGCAACAAAGAGTAGCCCCCACTCGCCGCAACTAGAGAAAGCCGGCGTGCAGCAATGAAGACCCAATGCAGCCAAAAATAAATAAATTAAATAAATAAACTTTAAAAAATAAATAAGCAGCCTACATCCTTATGAATACCTTAATTTCTAATTTCACTAGGTATGTTAGTTTCCTGCAGCTACTGTAACAAACTTAGTGACTTAAAACAGCAGCAATGTATTCTCTCACAGTTTTGGAAGCCAGAAATTTAAAAGAAGGGGGTCAGCAGGGCCACACTCCCTCTGGAGGCTCTAGGGAAGAACCTGTTCTTTGCCTCTTCCAGCTTACGGTGGCTCTTGGCATTCCTTGACTTGTGGCTGCATCACTCCAATCTCCCTCTGTGGTCACAAGGCCTCCTCCTTGTCTGTCTCAAATCTCCCTCTATAAAGTCACCTGTCATTGGATTTAGGGCCCAGCCAGATAAATCAGGACGACTTCCTTATCTCCAGATCCTTAACATAATTTTACCTGCAAAACCATTTTTCCAAATAAGGCACAATCACAGATTCTAGGAATCAGGACATGGACATACCTTTTGGGGGATCACCATTCAACCCACTACACTAGGAGATTTTAAATAAGCTCCAAATGCAAAAATAAAAAATAAAAATAAATGATCATTTGGGTAAAAAGTCATACTGAAGGACGCATACCATGACATTATATACAGCAGAAAATCACAAATCAATGCTTTAAAAACATATATATTTAATGTACAGGATTGGAAAAAAGGACTCTTTGATAATAAACATAGTCTAGGTAAACACAGGCTTCCTAAACTGATGAATATTTAATTGCAAATATTAACACCCTAAGTTACACTTCTATATAAAGGAGAAACTCCAAATCCTGTTCTTTAGGAAGACATGGAAGGCAAGTAATACCTTAAGAGCAACTATTGCTATCTTTCCCCTTTCCTTGGGTGATCTAACATTTTACATGGATTAGTTACAAAAGGAAATATTAGATTCCATTGAATTTAAGCACAAGACACAGCTAAAATTTATCACTGAGAGTACTAAATATTTGATGCTTATGAGTGTGAATAAATAATTAAATATTAGGTACAAGGCAGATTCCAAAACTAACTGAAGCATGAAAAAAAAAGGTATAAATACCTAATAGTCAGTTAATATAAATTTTGCTATTGGATATGTTCCAGGCTTCCTTTTCTATGTCAGTGAAATCTGCTTTCTTTTTGTCCAATGTCTTCCATTGCTGGGCTCCAAGACAGTAAACTCTTTAACCTCACCAAGGCCTTGGTCAAGGAAAGGATTTATTTTAGAAACAAAATAACTTCTTTCTTCTTTCTAAAGGTCATAGTTGTTTTTTCTGCTACTTGCTTCCTTCAACGAGTTATTAAAGTCTCCGTGTGAGAAAAGTTACTGGGCAAAAACAAGCAGTCTGTGTTGGCTGTCCCACAGTGCAGTGGCTGGTTAATAAAGATGATGTCCAGGCTTCCCTGGTGGCGCAGTGGTTGAGAGTCCGCCTGCCGATGCAGGGGACACAGGTTCGTGCCCCGGTCCCGGAAGATCCCACATGCCGCGGAGCGGCTGGGCCCGTGAGCCATGGCCGCTGAGCCTGCGCGTCCAGAGCCTGTGCTCCGCAACGGGAGAGGCCACAGCTGTGAGAGGCCCACGTACCACACAAAAAAATAACAATAATAATAAAAAAAAAAGATGTCCACTTAACCTTTTTCTCATTTGGTCTCATCCAAAGAGTAAGGCAAAAGGATCAAGGTTACAGAGGACTGATGACCCAGGTACAACTTTTACAAATATCTTTAAATGGCCAGGGAAAGCTTTACTTCTTCAGTCATGCCCCCAAATGAGTCGTTATTGAACCAAGAATCCCTTGCCACCCATTAGAGGCAGCTAAGCACAGATGCTTCAAAGATTAGTTCAAGGTAGTGCATAGATGCTTCAGGAGAGTGGACCAAAAAAGAGGAGGCCGTGGAATACAGGAAAGAGTGAACAAAGAAGACACCCCCAAAGTACACAGTTCACTGGGATCAGAATGGTCATTGATATAAACTCCTTATCATTCCACCTTCTGACAAACTCCTTTTATTATTTAGACATTAAGATATTTTCAGTCTTTTGCCTTCCTTTTCCACATTGTCTATAATATTGTGTAGTTTTCTGGAGTTCTGAACCAGGAACAGCAAGCTCTCCCTAAAATCACTAGTCCCGTGCTCTCTGCCAACATTTTCAAGCTCATCAAACAAAGACAACGTCTGTTTGAGTTTGGCCTGAACAATTTTTTGCTCTTCTAATTCTGCAAGAAGGGCCTGCTTAGTGCATAATTCAGTCTTATACTTCTCCTGTAACTGTTCAATTTCTTTTTGGAGAAGCTGGAATTCTTCCTCACTATAAGGATGCGTCTGCTGAGGTTTATCTTCCGGAAGCAAGACGTTTGGGGGAATACGCAAGATCAACTGTAAAAACAGCTGCTCCATTTTGCCAAAAAGGTTATCAAAACGTCCTTTCATGAAGCAAAGAAACTTTTCCGTGCACTTACGAATCTGGACTGGGCTAATCGCACAGTCTGGGATGCCATCCAGCTTCTTCAGAATAACCTGTTCAACAGCCTGCATCACTTCAAATAGGTAGTCTTGAAATGCAATGTAGATCCTAAGCATGCAAGTTTGCGGTGTGAAGCCAAAGAACTGGGCCTCATAGGTCATCGGATCAACAGACATCTTGGCTTATTTTGCTTTGTTTATTTTGAATGTGAAAAATCTGCAAATGTAATAAGAAAAAATTTCACTTGTGTTCAAAAAAATCATCTGATGAAAGTAACAAATGACATTACAGATAGCAAAGCAAACAAAAACAAAACAAAGAAGCAGACAAAAAAATATGAAGTTTATGTTCCTTGATACCTGATGCTACTTCCAGCCTCACTCATCCGCAGCAGGATACAAACGCCGCCTCGCTGAGGCTTTTTCCATCAGCCTGTAACCTCCCTCTTCCTCCTCATTGTCCATTTCCCTCACCTCTCAGTTACTGAGGCTTCTGGCCTATGGATCAGCCTTCGGAATCCTATCATCCCAGACAACTTTCAAGTTTACATGGATGATCTTACCAATGCCCTAGAGACTCAGTTCCTTGAGTTTCGATGATCTTCATCTCCACTCTTTTAGCCACATGGCGATTGATATTTGTAACTTCTTTCCCTAGCTGCTCCTACTTTTTGACCACAACCTCATATGCTGGTCTTCCAACGCTCATTCGCATATTCGTATTATACCTTAATCGTCAAGACTTTCAGCCCTCTGATCTTCTTTTTCTAGCGCTCAGTCTCTCCCACCTCACTTCTTCCTCTCTCCATTTTAAGCTCCATGATCCATCACTTCAACGGCTCCCTTGCCAAGGTCCTCAACTCCCCTGTCCTTCCAACCTTGCCATCTGAAAAATATCCCATTAGAAGCTGAGCAAGCCTGATGTTTTCTCAAGGGTCTGGGAGACATTCCTTTCAAATGTAAACATCTAGGAAAATAGCACTCCTATCTCCCTGTCAATGTGGGTGTTTAACCTAGGGACCTTTTTCTGAGCTGTAACCATATACTTGTCATAGAAATAAAAGTATTGATAGTTTCATTATTCCTGCAAAGTAATTAGCTAAAAAAAATGGCTACCTCAATTACCAGGTGAATTTAGGATGAACCTTATGAAATAATTTGCAGCAAGTGGTGCAGTCAAATCTTTCTATGGGACAAGATGCTGTTAATCTTGAGAATTTATGTAATGGCTAAAAATAGAATGGTTGTAATGGTTTAGCTGTATAAAATAGGGTAGAATTTCTTTCTGTCTTTGTCATCTCATTCACAGATTACCTATAATGCATTGTAATCCAGATATGCTTATTCAGTAATAAAACTGCTTTCTCTTCTATATCTTGTGGAGAGGATTCTGTGGATTAACAGGATTTTAATTTCAACACTACCCTATGCCTTCAGGATCAATTTCAAACTCTTTCTCATGGCTTACAAGGACCTTCATCATCTGACCTTTACTAACCACCCTGTCCTCCTTTTTAAGGACCTCACATATGCATAATTGAAGTGATAATACTTCCTATTTCATAGCACTCTATATTTGGTCCATGCTAGGTCCTCTCTTATTTTCTTTCATCGCCCATAGGAACCTACTCCAGTGTTTTAATGTATGCCTTTTCAGTTCATCTTTAATTTTAATTCATCTTTAACAGGTTTTAGACATACAGTTGACCTTTGAACAACATGGGTTTGAACTGCCCAGGTCCAGTTATACGTGGATATTTTTCAGTAGTAAATACTAAAGTACTACATAACCCACAGTTGCTTGAAACTGTGAATGTAGAACTGCATATATGGAGAGCCAACTCTAAATTACACAAGGATTTTTGACTGCTGGGTGGATTGGCACCCCTAATCCCCACGTTGTTCAAGGGTCAACTGTATAGTCTTGAAAAATACAGTCTTCTTTATGTGTGGTTCGCTTTACATTATGTTTGCAATCACTTCATGTTATTACACTTCATTGTTATTTTACTTCATTGGTTCTTTTTTTATTTTTGGTTGCACTGGGTCTTCACTGCTGCGTGCGCGGCTTTCTCTAGTTGCAGCAAGCAGGGCCTACTCTTCGTTGACGTGCATGGGTTTCTCACTGAAGTGGCTTCTCTTGTTGTGGAGCTCGGGCTCTAGGCGCGTGGGCTTCAGTAGTTGTGGCTCACAGGCTCTAGAGCGCAGGCTCAGTAGTTGTGGCGCACGGGCTTAGCTGCTCTGCGGCATGTGGGATCTTCCCACACCAGGGATTGAACCTGTGTCCCTTGCATTGGCAGGTGGATTCTTAACCACTGCGCCTCCAGGGAAGCCCCACTTCATTGGTTCTAACCGAAGTATTCCATTAATTTTACCATATGCGTATACCGTACTTCATGTGTCCACTGTTCATAGTTGCTGGGCCACAGAGTTTACTCATACATAATTTCACTAAATACCATTAAAATGTTCTCCAGAACGCTAGGGGTGGGAGTACAGCTAAGCTGGTTTACCCTCCCATTTGCAGTATATGAGAATTTCTTTCTCATGTCTTTGCCTTCACTTGATATTACTCAAAATTCTTATTTTTGCCAATCTTGTAAAATTGTTTTACAGTGTTGCTTTTTGAAAACCAAAACCATCTAACCCCCACACAGGCTGGACACAGAGGACTGCAACTATCGACAGTCTCCTTGCCTCCCCAAATAGCTTACTGTTTACATTAGCATGACTCTACTATTCTAGGAGACCTGAGTAATAGTTTCATTGTCCAAACAGCTTGATTGTTCATTATGAGCCCCCAGAAAGACTGATCGACTCTGAAATGCTAAGCACCAACAATCTGTACAGCAAGATTCTCTGAAACCCTTGCCTCAGCTGTTTCTCCCAATGCTGGACTGCTTTTCATGAGCTCTACCCAATCCTAATCAAGCCTCCAAATTGAAAAATCCACCTTAAACCAAATTTGCGATTCTCAAAAAACTCCAATCTTGCCTGTCATCCCTACAAGACATTGCCAAAGCTCTGTCAAGGTGTTTTGCTTACCAGGGTAGGCAAAACACTCAGCACTGTTTTATCAATAGACTGTGAGGGTGATGTGTGGGGTGCAGGTAAAAGTATTTTAATGTGCGTTTCTCCAACTGCCAGTAAAGTTGAGCACCACTTGAAATGTATTAACTCTTAAGGTTTCTCCTTCTGTAAATTACCCATTCATATCCTTTTTAAAAACCACTCTCTCCAGCATTTTACTTAATTCCTTCCTTATATACTACCAGACGAGGCCACTCCCTGTTCCAACAACCTTTAGTGCTTCCTTATAACCCACGGAATAAAGTATAATATTCTTAACTTTGCCTGCCATAATCTGACTACTCTTTGTTCCAACCAAACCAAGCTATGGCCTTTCCCTGTGATGTCTTTCCCTCAAGAGAAGATGCCTGGCCAAATATCTTCCAAGGGTCAGTTTAAATACACTTCCCTGCGGACCCACCCCCTCCTCTGAATTCCCATCAGGACCTCTCTTCGGGCACTGGCCAACTCCTACTTTAGGATATTATTATCACGGGCCTATCTTCTCCGCAAGCCTTAGATTTCCTGAGGGCAGGATGAGTACGGTTTCAATAGATATTTACAGGTGAAACGCGGGAGGTGCCCAGGATACCTCAGCAAGTAGAGCAGCGGGAGCTCCAAAAACCACGGAGTAGGAACCACTTCCGGCCTGAGCACTGGCTCCCGGCAGGCCCCGCGCCCCCGCTGCATGCCGGAACCTTAAGGGTGGAGGTTCGCGGCCACCGGAGACTTTGCTCCATCGGGCCGCTCCAGCGCCCGGCGATGAGGCCTCAGCCAGTGCCACCCCTTCTCGCTCCTCTTCAGAGAAAATGCAGCCCCGTGACACTTACCCAAGCGACCATGAGAGTGACGAATTCGACCAAACACCGGCTTCCCGCCACCTTCTTTAAACCACCGCCTGCTGCCAGAGATAGGGGGCACCGCTAACTCCCTCAAATTCCGACCGCTAGCTGCCTTAGAGCGAGGGCAAGATGCTACCGCGCTCCTGATTGGCTGGCTGTCCGGGGGCAACCTATATTGCTGACGGAAAGGGGGCGAGCGGGAAAGCTAGCTGTGGCCTGCGGGGATTGGCGGAAGGAAGCGGTACTCACCCTCTTTCCCGCGACGTAGGTGGGTGGAGAAGCGAGGCTGGGCCGCCGCGGAGACACAACTCGTGATTGGCGGGTGTGCTTTCATTCGGGCTCTAGCGATTGGTGGCTGACCAACTGAGCAGCGCTGATTGGGCAGCAGCGTAAAGGGGTGGGCCCCGCCCTGATCCCGCCCTGATCCCGCCCCGCCTCTGGGACAGACTGGCGGAAGGGGAAGTGCGGGGGGGGGGGGGCCGGCGGCGGCGGGGAAAATGGCGTACCAGAGCCTCCGGTTGGAGTACCTGCAGATCCCACCGGTCAGCCGCGCCTACACCACCGCCTGCGTCCTCACCACCGCCGCTGTGGTGAGCAGCTGCAGCGCCAGCTTCTCATTATCCGTGCTGGATGTAACCGGGTCCTCGGGAAACTGGGGTTTGGGCCTCCGGGAAGCTCAGAGGGGTTGGTCTCAAGGGTGGGTGGAGGCGTACAGGGTTCACTTTGGGGTTCGGAGTGGCCCCGTGAGTGCTTACCCGGTGACCCTGGAAAGGAGTGCTGCTCCAAGAGGGCTGGGGGATCAGGACTGAGGGTCAGTTTTTGAGAAATAAAGGCAGGATCTGTACCAAGTCAGGGCTTGGGTGGGAGCCGCCCACCCAGTAAACGTGTCTGAGAACTCCTGCGGTGGCCAGATGATAATGTGGTGACTAGTGGAAGGAGGGTCCGCTTACTGGAGAAACGTAGATATTGAGGATAGAAAGCTGGAAGTTGTCGAGCGGAAAAGTCTTGAAATACAGAGAGTCTGTAATAAAGGTTGGCTGGAAGCACCCAGCCCTCACGGTGGCAGGGTATTGAGTCTTGGTTCTTTTGAGTGAATTCTGTTGCTTCACACAGTTGTTTCAGGTGGTGCACATGTGTTGGACAGATTCGTAGCAGCTGCTCTTACTTGCCCTGTATCGAAGATATCACCACCTGCCTTCCATACCTTCACATTACCCTTAACTATTGAAACATCAAACAGACTTTTACTTTGTGTTAGGTATTGGGGAATACAAAGAATTGTATCAATTCTACACAATTCTTTACCATCCTTTTCCTCCAGCCTAAGAAGAAAGCCTTAAATGATTCAGTCTAAGTGACTGAGAGTGGGAAATTGCTGGCCCTATTAATCTTTTGTTGTAAATGATGATATTTTGTTTCTTGATTGACTTGCTTGAAGAAATTCTTTTTCTATTTCAGCAGTTGGAATTGATCACACCTTTTCAGTTGTACTTCAATCCCGAATTAATCTTTAAACACTTTCAAGTAAGTGGTCAATCACAACCGCCATTAATGCCTCAGTTTTTGAACTTGTTTTTCTTACATTTTAGTAGCCAATCCTGTCATATACTGTCTCAAAGAATTCAGTGGGAATACTTGATTATAAGGCTTATGGAGGTGGGGGGACGGGGTACAAAGCAGTGATTCTTGCAGCCTGGAACTTTTAAGAGACTTTCAAGCTCCTCATCATGTACCAAATCAGAATCGCCAAGTGTAGGAATTAAGAATCTGTATTTTATTTTTAAAGTTCCCTGCATGGTTTTGATTTGATGTGTCCAGTTCCTGTATTTAGGAATCACTGGTTCAAAGTTAATGTTACAGATTGAGAGGAGACTGATCAGCTGGCTGTCCAGGGAGAGTCTCACAGGATGCCCTTATTTTGTGCACTCACCACCATGTACCACACCTGCCACCTTGGTGTTACTGCTATGGTCCTGTTCAGAAACTCAGTTCAGTTAGTGTTCTGATCCATCTTCCAGGGATCACATCATCCTAACAGAACTCCAGAAGACTGACTTCGAAGACAACATGGCAGTGTATTAGATTACAGTGAGAGATGGTCCTTTCCAGTAATTTGAGTGCTAAAAGAGAGATGTGTTTTCCTGTTCTAGAATGATCATATAGGCTATAGTTGGAGTAAGAGAGAGACCCCCAAACCAGTAATTCTGTCTCTATACCTGCTGTTGCCTCTGTCCCAAATGTGTTTCATTCACTGTATACCCACTGAACTCCAGCTTGTCTTTCAAGATGCAGCTTTTGTGTAGCCTTCTCAGATTCATCCTCCCTTGTGTCCTTAGGGTATCTGTAAATACTTTTTTTATATCTCTCATCTCATACTTGCACTTATTTATATGCTTGTCTCCTCACTAGGTTGAGGACTCTAAAATCCTGGATGCAGTTAGTATGTAGTAAACAATCCTGAATTGTTTCAACTTTAATAGTTACAAGTTCTTGGGGCTTCCCTGGTGGCACAGTGGTTGAGAGTCCGCCTGCCGATGCAGGGGACACGGGTTCGTGCCCTGGTCCAGGAAGATCCCACATGCCGCGGAGCGGCTGGGCCCGTGAGCCATGGCCGCTGAGCCTGCGCGTCCGGAGCCTGTGCTCCGCAACGGGAGAGGCCACAACAGTGAGAGGCCCGTGTACCGCAAAAAAAAAAAAAAAAAAAAAAAAGTTACCAATTCTTAAGAATTAAATGATGCATAAAGCAGACCTGTGGGCCCTTATAACTGCATTCTTCCTCCTCTACTCACATGGCCTTTGCTGGGAGCTATAGCTCCATCCAAACAAACGAGATTTGATTTTGCCTGGGGTTAAACTCTTGTTTTTTTGTTTTTTGGGGGGGGGGGGTTTTGGCCAGCCATGTGGCATGCGGGATCTTAGTTCCCCAACTAGGGAATCAAACCTGCATCCTCTACAGTAGAAGCATGGAGTCTTAACCACTGGACCACCAAGGAATCCCCTGAGGTTAAACTCTTGACACCAGTATCTGCAGTTGGAATTAGGATTTCTCCGTTTGAGTTCAGTCTCCCTATACAAACTGTGTGTCCTTGGGCAGGCCATTTTAAAATCATCCAGGTCTCTTACTTTCCTCATATGTGAAATGGGGATGGTAGTGCCAACCTGCTCATCTCACAGGATAATTAAGATCACATGAGAGAACAGAATATTTTAAAACACTTTAAATGTTAAGTGTTCTGTCATTGTGAGTAGTTGTTTTTATTGCAGGTGTGGATGGTTTGGGTGGGTAAGAGTATATCAGGGTTTGAAAATGAGCGTCTGTGTATCTACCAATTAGACTCTAATTGTTAAAGTATTAGGTCTTCACTTACAGGGAGTTGGCTCTTTGTTCAGACTAGAACTTGAGTATTTGTTGTAGAGTTACTCTTCACTCTGGATGTTTCTGACAACTGATATAGAAACATTTCTTAGCAATTGATATTAGATCCAGCAATCTTCCTTTCATATCTTGAGACTATTCATTAGATTGTGATACTACATATATGAAAGCACTATTCTGCAAATTAATCTAGTCTTTCCATCAAACTTTTCCCATAATTTGCCTGACCATATAGTATGGGTTTAAAAAAAAAAAAGAATCACAATTTCAAGTTTTCTGTCCTACTATCCTTAGAAATTCCTGGGGCAAGTGACATCTTTCACTGAAGCAGCACAAAAATTCAGTGTCAGATTGTGTGCCTCACTTTTGAGTTCAGACATAGTATCACCTATTCATGGCCTTCCAACCCTTGTAGTCATAGGATATCTCCTTCATCTTAATATAAAAATGTTTTCTGGTATATTTTACTTAATCTATCTTTCTCTTGATGTTTTTCTTTTAACAGATATGGAGGCTAATCACCAATTTCTTATTTTTTGGGCCAGTTGGATTCAATTTTTTATTTAACATGATTTTTCTGTATCCTTTACTAAGTGGGGTTAGCATAAAAACTTTAGGTTTACTTAGGAAATACAATATTGTTTGAAACTACTAATCCTGTTATTTTTGTTACCATCTTAGCTGTAACTTCTGGCTACTGGCTCAGTGATACACAGAATAGTTGGTCAGTTAGTAATGTTTTGAGGGTGTTTATAGGTCACTGTTTATTCAAATGGGAGGTATTTAACCGTAAAATGTTTACATTTCTGCCCATAAGCCACTTACAGATCTGATCAAAGGAGAGCAGAAGTGATTTAATTGAGGCGTACTTACAAAATAACACTGGCGGGCCCCAAGTGATAAAACACAACCTGGGAGTGGGTTCATGGGGGATGGAGAACTTGAGATCTCCTTGGATCTTGGTTGCTAGTTCCACTGGTTGGAAAGACAGTGCCGTGTCTCCTGGGCTCGCCATGTTCCAGTTTGTTGAAAGAGAGGAAGAGTTGTGCTCTGATCAGATGGTAATTGGGGCCATTGAGCAGGGCATTTCTCCTGCACCCCGACCCTCTGGATTAAGAGGGGAGTTACAGCTCAGCTCATCTGCAGTAGACAAAGGGCCTTTTAGGGGTGACAGGATTCCTGCCCTAGGATGGATTCCTGTGTCTTCTGTATGGTGTATCATTCTGGTAAGTTTCTAATAATTAAATTTTTTCATTGTAATGCCTCCTTATTGACTGAGGTACAGCAATGCTTAACTCCCTGGCCTGAAAAGGCAGATTTTTACATGAAGCTTCTTGATGGGGATTTCCTCCAAATTAGGTTGTGAAAAAGCAAGGATGGTGTAGATTATGGTGTGGCTGAACATGGGAAAGACAGGACAAATTTCAAAAGGTGTAGTCGGTCACGGGAAGCATGTTTATGTGGTGTCTGGCTTAGTTCCCCAGTCAGGAACAGTTTTTGTAAAACATGGAGCCGGTCTTCTCTTCACCTTGCCTAAAATGGCTGGTAAAAGAGAGGCAACCATACTACCACTCATAAATATTCTAATAGGAACAAAGGCTGACTTCTTACACATAAAGTGGAGTCCAAGTGTACTTAAGTGGTACATTAAATTTTACTTTCTTGGGCTTCCCTGGTGGCGCAGTGGTTGAGAGTCTGCCTGCCGATGCAGGGGACACGGGTTCGTGCCCTGGTCCGGGAAGATCCCACATGCCACGGAGCGGCTGGGCCCGTGAGCCATGGCCGCTGAGCCTGCGTGTCCGGAGCC